AATGTGGGTCAGGGATGTTAGAGCTTCTGCATGATGGAAGTCAGCCCTGCCCTTTTTTGCTGACCTAGTACCCCTACTTGCCTTGCCAGACAGGCCTTCATCAGTTCAAAATGAGACAAAATTAAATAACCATTGGTAATGCAGCTGTGTCAGCTTAAGAATTAAAAAACAAAACAAAACACAAAACCCTCAAGAAAACAGTATTTGTAGGATAGCTGGACACAGAAGTCCTTAGGCCAGGAAGTAGGTAGGATATCCAAGTGTTTAAAGYAGTTTAAAGATCCAAGTGTTTAAAGTTTTTTTAACATTAGTGAAAATTCAAGACTTTAWAAGGAGAAAAATTTTAAAAATGCTGTGAAACTGTGAAACAGCATAGCTTTTTAGTTGGCAACAGCTGTGCTTCAGACCCTGTCCCTACATGTTTCTATGCATTGAATATGAAAAATTTGTTTGGTCTTATTTGGAAGAACCCTTTTCTTCATGGTGAGGGGATGGAGTTAATTTCCAAATCTATTTGCCTCTCACAAGGAATTAGGCAAGAAACTTGACTGTGTTTGTTAATCTTGGAAATCTTCTGAAGGCTCAGGTGAAAGCCAGTCTCCTGCTTGTATAATTTTCAGAGCCTTAGTCAGAGCCCATATGTTACAACCTGGAGGAAATGATGCTTGGAGATGACTAACTGAACATGTTCCTGCTGTTAATTTGGGTGCCATTCCAGAAATTTAATTTGTAAGTTTTCTTTTTCCTTTTGTTAACACATTTACTTACTACTGCCTGTCTTTGCTGTTGTTCCCCACTAAGGAACTTAATGAAGGGATAAATTTTATATTAACAGAGAGAGGCATTTTTTCACCCTGTCTGTGATGAGTAGGGAGAAGCAGAGAATATAAATGTGTTGGATTAGCAGCAATTTGATTATAGATAAGATATTCACTTCTTTGTACCTTCCTGCTGCAAACACCATGTCAGTCCAGTTAGTGTGGGTGTGGAATTCACCAGGAGAGAGGCTGTAATGTGCTAATTGGAAATCCATGGASTYACAGGATGGTTTGGGTTGGAAGGGACCTTAAAGCCCATCTAGTGCCACCCCTTGCCATGGGGGGACACCTTCTACTATGCCAGGGTACTCCAAGCCCTGTCCAGYTTGGCCTTTSACKCCKCCAGGGATCCAGAGGCAGCCACACCCTGTGCCTGGGCCTCCCCACCTTCACAGGGAAGAATTTCTTCCTCATAYCCAATYTATATCTACTCTCCTTCARCTCTTTCAGAATTATTTATTCTTTGAAAGAAGCTTTGAATGGCTTTGAGTGGTTTGATGCTTAAAATTGACCAGGCAGTTATAATCTGATTTGAAACWGGAAAACCAGGAGAAGGATGAAGTAAAGCCAGCTCACAATGTAGAACCTCTTCTCACTGCTGTTTYAACACCTGTCTGCCAGATTCCCTGTCACAGTGAGGAATGCATCATATAACCCCAGCCCAATTAATGATATTTGCCTGTAGGAGAGGTGAATGAGGGGCCCAGGTGCTCTGGGCTGTGTGTGCAGTGACAGTGTCTGTGACTGGGCTGCTCTGCCTGGCGTGCAGTGAGAGCACCCAGTGTGGGTTGTGCCTGCAGGAGCACTCTGTAAGCTCAGAAGCTCTGATCAGAAAATATCAAAATCTCAGCAGAGGGTTAAGACTATTCTTCACAGTTTATTCGGAGTAATAAGTGGACTCTACAGATTGTTTCCTCAAAACTGGCGGCTGTTTTGTGTGTTGCTTGGTTCTGTTTATCTCCAGTTTGTGTGGCAAAGCTGGACCAGCTCAGTGCAATTGCTGTGACCTTCAGAAGTTTGGATTTTGTTTTACCTTGGTGCTGTGYAGTGGACTTGAGCAGATTTCAGTTCTTTGAAATGGAATTACAGTGTCATCTCCAGAGCCTGGACTCAGTGTCCCAGGAAGGAGGGGAAAAGCCAAGAGGTTGAATGCCTTAAAATGAGGGTAAGTGTGTGGATACATGCAAACTGATACTGATACTCACATGAGAAGAGCATTTTCTGAGTTTCAAGGCTCATCCCTGGAAAAAGGCCAGGGTAGCAGTAGTGCCCTGAATGCAGTGTAGCAGACAGCCATGAGATGGGTCACTTTGTGTGATCCCACTGTTGCATATGGGAAACCATGGAGAACCAGGGCTCTTATGTGTGTAACTTGGCATCCCTGACCTTCCTGTCCAGCAGCTGAAAATACCTGCTGTGTCAGAGGGCATGGAGGCTGTGTGACCTTGGCATGGATGAATCTGGAAACTCACTTTATTCGTCCAAATTTTGATAAATTTAAGTCATGCAAAGGATGCCTTAAATCGGGTTGAGTGGATTGAAGGCTTGAAGCAGCCTGGTCTAGTGGAAGGTGTCCCTATCTGTGGCAGGGAGTTGGAATCAGATGATCTTTAGGGTCCTTTCCAACCCAAACTATTCCATGARTCTGTGATTATCTTTCTTTGTGTTGACCTTTCCAGAGAATCCTGTTCACCATCTTAAAACAACCTGGAGGTTGTTTAAGGCTCATACCCTTAGCTTCAGGATGAAGACATTTTGCCATGTGTAGGTTATATGATGGGGGAGTAAGTGTCTGTGACCCCAGTGAAGGTTTCTTGGGTTTGGATTAAACCCTGAGTGAGTCATGCAGTTAAACAGGTGTTTCTGCTGCTTCAGAAGAGAAAACACTTCAACCCTTAAGCCTTTTCAGAATTAGCTTATATTTTTGCCAGTGACTCATGTGTCAGGTTCAGCCTGGAGGAATTTAGAGGAGGTTGATTGAGCCCTGATGGCACCAGAGACCACTCCTGTGGTGGAGACTGCAGCCACAGGAGTGGCTGCTCTGCCCGGGCCCTCGCCTTTTCTCTTCAGCTGGAGAACAATGCTCAGCTGTTATTCTGATTAAAAAAAATCCAGATCTTTTCTACTGTGAAATAAAACATTTGTCTTCCAGAATCACTCTGTTGCAGTTGCCCAAATGACCCTCGYTTGTAATGCATAGAATATACAGAGTATGGTTGTCTGTGAAGGCTATTTTTATGAGTTACCAGTAAARTGGCAGTGGAAAAGTTCTCATAGTGCTCAGAAATCTGGAAATGAGAGTCAAGGACTATGGTATTACTTTTTTTTTTTTTTTTTCAATTGGAAGTTTTTGCAAATCTGCTGGATTCGTGCAGTCACCTTTCCTTTCCTCTGCCRGCTCCCACACTACTCTTCCTGCCTTGCATAGGGACTTGCTCCTTCTCCTCCCTAACAGTAGTGGTTCTATATTAGAAGGAAATTCAGCACTAGGGAAGAAGTTACGGATTTGAGAGCGCTTCTGGGGGCTCTTCTTGCCCGACTCATTAGACAGCCTGCTTTTGGGTTTTTCTTTGGGGGTGGGGAGGGTGGGTTTGCTGTTTGTTTTTTTTTGCTTCAAAAAAAAAATGCAGCTGGTACAGAGCAGAACAGGAGCTGCCTGGCTCAACTGTTGGGTGTTCTGTGTGCTGTTGTCCCTGTGGGGCATGGGGTGCTCCTGGCTGCCCCAGAGATCCAGGCCCAGTGCCCACAGGGCACCCTGCACTGCCCAGCCTGAGGACTGCTGCTACTCGGGCACTGTTTGCTCTGATGCTGCTCCACGAATGCAAAGGAAACAGAGAACCTCCTTGTATCCCAAGCCCCAGTACCCCAAGCACACACACACAATGTGGGCAGGGTTTTGTCATCCACCAAGAGCCAAATTATGGTTTCAACCCTGTGTTTCCTCTGATGAAGAGTCCATATGAAGCTGACTTGTTTGTAGCCTTGGGAATTCTCATTTGCATCTTGAGTTGTCTGGGATTGTGGGTGAGGGCAGGCTGTGGAAATGCCAGTCACTGATCCTTTTGCATCTTGGCTTCAAGTCAGTTCGGTTCCCATTTAATTCACTCTGTGTACATAAGAGTACAGGTCATATAGACAYGCCTAAGTGACCTGAGGAAATGAGGATGTCTGAGGTTAAAATATGATCTAATTAATCTTGGCGACTGGTGAGCCTTTGGCTCTCTGAGTAAGAGCATCTTCTAAAGATCCCAAAAGCTCAATTTCTAGGGCAGGAGTGGGCAGTGCTTTGGCCAAAGGGGCAAACCAGGCAGGCATGATGGCAGGGTCTGGAGTGGCACTGCCCTGCTGCTCTGTTTCATCATCTGAAGAGTTTGGAGTGAGTATGTGAGCTGTGTCTTGGGAGCTCTCCCTTGTGCCAGTGAGGTTCAGGCAGCCTTCTGCTGAGGGGCTCTGTGTGTGCTGGGCAGGGTCATGTCACAGCCTGGAGCTTATGGAAAATGACCTGAATATTCTTGAGCAAAACCAGAGTAGTAGAACATGATGTTTTCACATTTCTAATCTAAAATATTTCCATGCATATGCAGCCTKTGGAAGAAGCTGAAGGTCAGCTGGAAACACTTSCTTTACCAAAAAGAAGGGAAAAGTCTGTAAAATTAAGCAGAAGAGCTAACAYATAGAATAATGGATGTTTGGTTTTTTTGGAAGGTGGTATGGTTTTAATTTATCCTGAGGTAAACAAGATGGGCTGCAGAGCTGGTRTGGTGAGAGGGACCTCAGCTGGTGCTTTGTGCCAGAGCACCCCAGGAGCAGCTGCGGGTGGTGGGAGCCATCCTGATACCTGGAAATGACATTTTGTGGGTATTAATCCCTTGGATGAGCCTCACAACACCCCAGCATGAAGAAATAGCTGAAGGTTGATCCGTTGTGCCGCAGGTGTGTTCACAATGCCTGAAATATTAATGCTGTCATGAGCATGGCATAGCACAGGCATCTCTTTGTCTTCTTGGTACTGGATTTAAGCCGAGTGCCCTAGTTCATACACGCTGCTGGTCTCTTACATAAAAGATTTTRTAATTGCTCTTGACACAAGCATAAAATGAATCTAAAATTCTGGATACCCCGGCAATGCACAGTCTTTATTTTTGTCTGTCACTAATAATAATGTCTCATTTTGGCTTATAGGACAGAAAACTCACAAAAGTAGAGAGGCAGAGATTTAAAGAAGAAGCAGAAATGTTGAAAGGTCTCCAGCACCCAAACATCGTGAGATTTTATGACTTCTGGGAATCCTGTGCAAAAGGCAAAAGATGCATCGTTCTGGTTACTGAGTTGATGACCTCTGGAACGCTGAAGACGTAAGTACTGTGCTCCCGGTGAGGGGGCTAAGAATAGCAGCAGAAATTTATAGCAAAATCCTACTTTCATATGCTGAAAAAAGCCATCTCCAGATAAAAGMAAAAAAATGGAGCTGTTCTCTGGTGTCTGTCATTTGTCCCTGCATTTGAACCTCTGTGATTTGACAGGCAGAATTTTGGCCTCTATCTCTTTCTGCCTGCTTCCCTGTTTCAGTTATGCAACTCGAAGCTGTTCTCTGGCGTGTTTCATCTTCCGCCTGTGACATTTGGGTTTGTCAGGGTGTGTTTTGTGCTTGCTTTTGTGCTTGTATTTGCATGTTTTGTTAGGAAATTCAAGAGCCTATGAATAGCACTTGAACAGTGAATCTCTTTTAGAAGCYTAAGATGCTCTAGGTTATCTCCTAAACAATATTAATTAATAGCTTCTGGTACTGACAGTCTTGTTAAGGTTGATATAAAGCAGTTGGCATGAATTCTGGAACAGATTTTCAGCCCCAATGGGGGCAGTCCTCAGACAGTGTGCTGCTCTGCCAGTGCATTAGCAGACATCTTCCCCAAATGTCACCTCTCAATCAGTGCTTCAGGTAAATGGAAAGAAGTGCAGGTGCATGGTACAGAGGTCAAAGTCTTGTGGTTAAAATTAAACTTCAGTGGTCTTCTGATTTGAATATATGAACATATTCTAAAGCTATTCTCTGCATGAAATGAATTGCTAAACTATTAGACTTGAAAATATTTGGTTATATTTGCACCCAAARTGCTTATTTATCATCTTCTCTGCAAATGAATTCTCTAATTCCTGCTTTGAAAATATCTATTTCTTTCAATTTTGGGATATTTCTGTGCTGCTCTTGTGGCATCTAATAAGGGGCTTTTATCCATAATGGAGTTTCAGCTGTTAAAGCCCCTCAAATCTCTAACAAAATGTTTTCACTTCCTTTTTATCCAATTCTGTGTATGTTGTGCTCTAGGTATCTGAAGAGATTTAAAGTGATGAAACCTAAAGTCTTGCGGAGTTGGTGTCGGCAAATCCTGAAGGGTCTTCTTTTCTTGCACACAAGAACTCCACCAATAATTCACAGAGACTTGAAATGTGACAATATTTTTATTACTGGACCAACTGGATCTGTGAAAATAGGAGACTTGGGTCTGGCAACACTCAAGAGAGCTTCGTTTGCCAAAAGTGTAATAGGTAATGCTCCTGTTCTCCTTGGCTTCCCTCGGTCAGTATTGTGGTTGTCTATTTAACATCTTCCTTTCCCATTGTGCATTAGTGGTTTTTAAATCACAGATTGGTCGTAGAGATTAAAGTGGGTTTGGGACTGTTGCCTTTTTACCACTRTAAAAATGGGAATCAGTAGGTAATGGTGTCATCACTTCCTCTTCTCCTTCCTCCTGTATCAGTACTTGCTTAAATAATTATTTTAGTATCTCAGATTTTCAGATACTGTAATTCTTGTTTAATTCTTTGCATATACTTGCACAAAAGTATTGTCCTTGATGCTTAATATACTGAGCCCAGTATCACTGAAGTCAAAATGATGGAAATTTCATATATGTGTTTGGCTGCTGTGGGTCTGCTTAACCTTGTTGATTTTAGTGAAGTCATGTTGGTTTATATTTGTTRAGTTTCTCTAGTTTTAACTTCTGGTAATGGGTAGTCTTTTTTTCTTTTGAGGGTCAGTACTTCTTCAGATATTTTTTTTGCAGGATAACAATTGGACATAATGGAATAATATTAATAATAACAACATTGAGAATAATATAAGTAATACAAATATTGGGAATAATTCCAGAAGTACCAATACTGGGAATAATATGAGTAGTAYCAACACTGGAATAGTATCAATAGTACCAATACAAGGAGTAATATCACTAATATCAGTATTGGTAAGAATGTTAGTAATACCAATACAGGTTTTTGTAAAATCTGTTGTAGGCACACCACCAKCAAAGTACACTCATGTCTAAAAGGAATTTGATACTGGAAGGGGTGCAGATTGCTGGCAAAGTGGCTGCATTCATTTTGGCAATRAAACTGAGCTTACAATTTTCATGAGTAGCACTGCACCATGGAGAGAATTAGGAAGGCTTGGAAACACTGGTGATGAGTGATTCTGCCCCTTCTGCAGAGGTAGTATCTTTGAAGGCACATTAGTAGCTGTGATTTGACATTGGCTGGAAGGGATAAAGTCAGTGTGGCTGAGATCCAGGTCCTGCCCTGCTGTGTCCGTGCCATGGCTGATGCTGGCCTGACCTTGCAGTATCTGTGGGACTCGAGCCAGGGCAAAGCTCCTCCTGCCAAGAGCAAGAACAGCTTAGTGATGCCGACAGCTTTACGTTTAGGTGGTCTGTTTTGTTGAGGGATGCTTGTAGGTACTCTTTCCCACCTCAGGAAATGGGGTGAAATGTCATTTTTGTGCTGTTTGGGAATGATGCCAAGTATTCCATTGCTTTTTAGACTAGTGCTATCACTTYTTCAGATTTGTTTTAAGTGCTCTGTAATTCATGAGATTCACTCCTGCTGCTGAGTCGTGTTCCTTCTTAAAGCAAGGCAGGAKCTTCAAAATCATTCCCTGTGGCAGCTGTTAAACCCTTTCTAAGCAATAGCCTCTACCTGGGTCTCAGCTGGGACAAACACCCAGASAGAGGGACTATGCTGAGCTACCGTGACACAAGTTTGGCTGATTTGCTAAGGCTGGAGGAATGAGTGTCTTTGAGATGGAAGGAGCATAAACAAGGGAAGAGCTCAATCCTGAGTTTTGCAAAATTAATTTTTCAGAAATATTTGTTTGGGATTTAGACTGAGGCTACTTCAGAAGAATGTGCAAAAGCACACCCTAATTTTTAAGGCTGTCCTTTATATTGCCATTAAAAGAAGTTGAGGACAAGCCAGAGAATCCTAGAATCCTAGAATGGTTTGGATTGGAAGGGACCTTAAAGATCATCTTGTCTGCCAGTCTTGGGACACCTTCCACTAGACCATATTGYTCCAAGCTCTGTCCAGCCTGGCCTAGACACTTCCAGGGTTGGGGTTTCCACAACTTCTTTAGGGACTTGGGTGATAACTTGCAACTAGAGGAGAGGAGATTCAGRTTAGATATTAGGAAGAAACATGTTAGTGTGTGGTTGGAGTGGGCCTGGCACAGGTTGCCCRGTGAAGCTGTGGTTGCCCCATCCCTGGAAGTGTACCAGGACAGGCTGGATGGGGCTTGGAGCACCCTGGGATAGTGGAAGGTGACTCTGCYCAGGGCAGGGAGTGGAYGAGATGCTCTTYAAGGTACCTTCCAATCCAAACCRTCCTGGGATTGGATTCTATATGCCAGAACTATTTTTTTCCTGATTATGTGTTACTTTAATTACATTTGTGCTTTTGCTGTTGGTCAGAGATGTCATTACAAAGCATTGATGGGATCTGCCAGGCTGCCAGGGCTGTGGGCAGTTTGGGTGCTCAGGCTGRACAGGGAGAGTTTACCTGCTGCCAGACCTGGCACTCTCCTTTTTGGCATCCTGACACCTTGCCACTCCTGTCCCTCAGCATRCAACTGAGTTGATCTCTCTTCCTTCACCTTTTCTACATGTAAAAAGGAAATAAAGTAGTTATTACTCCTAAGCATGAATTACAGTTCCTGGAGTGAATTACCCAAGTGTTAATAGTTTTCTGTTTTGCTTTACAAGCCCACACTTTKCAGAGTAGTTTGCTGAGCAAATGTTACAGGTGTTGGAAGTTGCTGCTTGTCCCCAAGCTGCAGCTCCCAGTGCCTYGCTTCATATTTACCCCGCTGCATCAGATTCCTGACACCCTAATCCCTATTGAGTAGGACCTTATTCTGTGAGTAGCCTCATTGATTTGTCCCACTAAACCAGTGACAGAATTAGGTTTGATGTTTTGTGCATGACTGTAAGTGACTTGTGATACTACTGGCTTTCAAAGTGCTGTCTGTCTGCTGGTGGTTGCTCTGTATCTCTGAAGGAAACAAAAATGCAAATTGGCACTGATAAAAACAAGAGTGAAGGTTCTTGTCTCTTCTTCCCTTTTCACCTCCCTAGACCTGTACACATCCCTCTCTTCAGCCAGACAGAAACCATTCCATCACTTCTAGTAYRAGCAGGGCAAGAGCCATAGCTYATTTTCTTGTTAWTTTTTGACARTTTTYRTACTYWTACTTYCCCCTCTCCCCCACCCTACTTCTCCCCTTTGGATTATTACCAGCAAGCCATGCGCATGGAAGTGCATGTGTTGACCTTGGATTTCTTCCCCTGAGGGATGCTTGAGCTTTTTTTTTTTTTAAATAATCTTGCATGCACCTATACACAGTTGTACTGGGCACACTTCTTACAGGTGAAAAAGCTTGTGGTTAAAGCCATTTAGAGTACTGTAAAAAATCAGTATTGTTTTTGTGCGTGTGTGTGTAGGTACACCAGAATTCATGGCCCCAGAAATGTACGAGGARCACTATGATGAATCTGTGGATGTCTACGCGTTTGGAATGTGCATGCTGGAAATGGCTACCTCAGAATACCCTTACTCAGAATGCCAGAATGCTGCTCAAATCTACCGAAAAGTAACCTGTGTGAGTACACGTCCTTAATTTGTATTGAATCTTGCCATTTGAAGGTTTAAAAGCATATTTTGAGGTGTCAGTACTGCTGAGCATATACTGTGTTGTAGAAGTTGAGGTATCTGAGCTCTGGGTTAAACAAGCCTGTTTCAGGCTTATGTGTTAAGTTTRAAATTCTACAGTTGGACTGCATTTGAATGGATGCAGCTGCATCTAATATTTTCAGTAATCTTTGTCACTGATTTTATCTCCATTGACCAAAAATACATAAAACTTGGGAAGAATGAGCAGAGAAAAGTCTCTGCTTCTAGTTTTACGTTCTGAAAGGAATTTTCAGACTGGGTTAGGTTGGCATTCAAAGCTTCTCTGGGCAACCTTCTCCAGCACCTTGCTGACCTCAGAGTAACACATTTCTTCTTAATATCTAATCTAAATCTCCCCTCCTCCCATTGGAAGCCATCASCCAAGTCCCCAAAGAAATTGTGGAAGCTCTATCCCCCCCTGGAAGTGTCCAAGACTAGTTTGGATGGGGCTTGGAGTAACCTGATGTAGTGGAAGGTATCCCTGCCCGTGGCAGGGACTGGATGAGATGAACTTGAAGGTCCTTTCCAATCCAGCCCATTCGGGGATTCTGTGATCTATGAAGTTTTGCACAAAGCTGAAAGGACTTTTAGGTTGCAGCTTAAAGGCTTATTTATCCAGTGGAGGGTGTTTGATTTGGATTTCATGCACAGATTCCCTATATTTGTATGTGTAACAAAATTCTCTGAAAGTACAAAAGGGAAATGATGGCAATACCTAATTTTGGAGTCAGCCAGRGGAGCTTTAGATCTGCATTTGGGTACTCTGCAAGGTCTGGTATACCCAGGTAGGAACCAGGATAATGGGTTTGCTGTGTTGTCAGTGAGGTTGGGCTGGAGAAGTCATTCTAAAGTAATGTCTGCACTGGTTAAAATCCCTTCAACAGAGACTTCAACAGTCTCACCCTAGAGATGTGTTTGTGTTTGTGAATGTGTTTGCCTACATGAGCTGTGCTGTGAGTGTCTGAGAAAACTCCTGGGTCTGTAAGATGGTTGTGCATTGCAAATCACTGACTGCAGAGAAATAGGACTTGCCAAAGGCTTTGGCAGCAATGATTATGCTGTATTCTGCTTGGGTCAGTGAAACCAAGAGGGGCAGGAGATTTTCTTCAAGATAGAGACTGGTTTGGGAGTAACTTGTTGATTTTGAAAGGTATTTGAGACCACTTGCCTTCCCCAGGAAGTTTAAGGAATCGCGCTAGTACAATTTTTTTCTGCTGAGAGTGGTGAAACTCAGCAGCAAGCAGAAGTTGCCCAGAGAGGTGGTGCATGCCCCATTCCTGGAAACATTCAAGGCTGGGTTGCACTGGGCTCTGAGCAACCTCGTGTAGTGGAAGAGATCTTTGCTCATTCCAGGGGGTTGGRACTGGCTGGATGGCCTTTGAAGGTCCCTTCAAACCCAAACCATTCTGTGAATCTATGAAATGTGGTGCTGTGAARTCCTGCCAGCAGCAAACATTGCTCAGGGTTGCATGTGTAACTTTGCTGTGTACTGATCCCTCACACTGGGTATAGAGATGTTATCATCAGATACCAAAGAAGTGTGCCAGATAGTGAGTTTATGTGCAATGTACTTTTTATAGGAATAGTTTGTATTGTTCAGTATCTGTCTTTTCCCACCTCTGAAGATTGGGTACTGGGAAGTTGGTACTCTCGTAACTTGCTGTGCTGGCCAGGTGGGGTGATGCTGACCTGGAGGAAGAGGAGGAACTCAAACTCCTCAGGGAGGCATGTCTGTGTTTAAAAGTTGAAGTCACTCTCATCAGACACAGGGGAATATCTCTGCTGGGAATRAGGGGGATGACATGACTTTCTGAAAGCAGGAAGCCTCATCCAAAGAGGAGGGAAGCGGCTTTATCCCATTTTTGTGTAAACTGTGTATGCTGATATTTGTAGCTTCTTGATGCTGAATTTTTCCCAGTGGTGTGATGCTTGGTAATTTAACTCTTCTTAGAAAGTTGCTTTCAACTCAGAGGCACTCAGAAATATTTTTAAAGCCCACAAAAAGCCTCAGAAAGTGCTCARCAGTGCAGTTATCTTCATCCTGTGGCTGGAGCAGCTTCCTCAGCATTGCAGGGAGGTGAGTGTGTGCAGCCATGGAGTTGCTGACTGCTGACCATGCTCTGCACCATGGGCTGGCTGAAAACCATGTGGCAGCTTCTGAGCAACATGGAATGGGTGTCATGGCTCAGGGGAGTTCCTTGCCTTTATCCTTGTTATTCAAGGCTAGGTTTGACAGGGCTTGGAGCAGCCTGATCTTGTGGAAGGTATCCCCACCCATTACAGGGAGGCTGGAATTAGATGATCTTTAAGATGCCTTCCAGGCCATTCTGTGATTCTGTGATTCTGTGATCCTTGAGTCACATTGTTTTTCTGTGCTGTTATTCCATGGTGCTTTATCCCAACGTTTATGACCTTTGGCACAAGGGATRTTGGCTCTGTTTTGCTATGTAGTCCTTCAGGTATGGTGTGAATGCTATCAGTGCAGGCAGCTTAGGGACAGCTCCTTGGACTCTTGAGCTTCACAGAGTGCCTATAAGGGGCTCTTCTGATTTTAGGCTCTGTAGCCTCATCTCCTGCATGTGAGACCAGTCAGGTACCCRATGTCACCATGGAGCTGCCATCAGGGTTATCTGGTGTTACTGCGAATGTGTCTGTGCATCTGGAGAGCACTGATCTTGCCATTGCTCCATGTACCCAGAGAAGATCTGTGTACACCTCTTAGCCATCTGGAATATTAGAAATTAAGACTTTGCAAGGCTCCTAAACCTCATTTATCAAAGCAATATCCAAGACGGCAAAGAATAATGATTAATCAGAGGATTCCTGATTAGAGGTTGTATTTCAATTAACACACTTTAAGTAGTCATTTCTTTTAAACACTGATGGAAGCCTGAGSCAACTCATTTTCTATGGCAGTAACCTTTACACGGCTCAGGTTTAGATAGTAAATTATTATAATTTTGTAAAACTGGCTTTATACTGGCAAGTTTAGAGAGCTGGGAGATGGTGTTTATCATGTAAAACAAGTAATGGTGGAGAAGCTTTTGAAAGGTTGTTGTAAGGGGTATTTTTGAAGCAGAATTGTCTGGAAGGGAAAGCCGAAGCAAAAAAGATCAGGTACCAGCATGGAGGGCGTGTGGTTTTGATCTGAATTTGGGKTAGTAGCAGTGGGAGCAAAGACAGCAGGATTCCTTAAATGGCAAAATTGGCATTACTGTTTTTCCAAGGAAAGGGTTAACCAGCTCCCTGTGGAGTGGAGAAAGCCCTGTCAAATGCCATGAGCTGTACAACTGTCAGGCAGGAAGGAGGAGCAGGGGGTGGACCTCTGGGGTGAGGGTGCAGGAGGAGCCTCATGTCSTGGGGGAGATCCTCTGTCCCAGGAGGAACCCTCTGGTGGGCTCAACAGCTTCTCTAGAGGAGCTGCATCTGCAGGAGGGCCGGCAGCAGCAGGGGACCCTGCTCCGAGCAGCGTGAGTCGCCTGCGGGCTCTGAGGGATGCAGCGGCCGAGGAGGAGAAGGAGGAGGTGTAGAAGTTTGGGGTGTGGGGTCCTGACCAGCACRATGCAGGGTCTGCCCGAAACTGGAGCAGTGACTACATACAGACAAAATAACTCAAAATCGCTTGGATGAAGAGTTAGGTTTGGTGATGCGGCAGCTTGTGCAAGCCTTGGGGCTTATAGATTGGAAGATAGTAAAAAATGGAGTGCAGACTAAACCCCAGAGGCTGAACTGGGCTGTTKTCTTCCCATATTAGATTAGGTTTGGGGCTCTCACTAGAGCAGAAAGCTGCTCCGACCTTCTTGGATGGAGAGAATGCAGAGCCCCTGATCACTGCAGCTTCTCAGAGAAATTTACCTTTTTATGAAGCTGGGTTTTTTTTTTTGCACCAAGAAGATAAGTACTATTTTTAGTATTTTAAATTGAGGGTCAGTGCATTGTAAAAATGTGTTTSCTGCATCTGGCTGCCTGATGCTTTTGTTTAAAATATATAAAATAAAATAACTTTCTTTTCCTGCCTTGGGCTCAGCATTGCAGTGGCAACCACCAGAGGTGTTGATAGCRTCCACAGGGGCTGGAATTGCTGGCTATAGTTTGTATCAAGGAGCAGCAACCAACAAAATCTTTAGACCACCTCCTGCCTTCTGTTGGGTCCCACCGAGCTGACATTCCCTCTGCTGCCCAGCGCAGGCAGGGCATGATTTGGGGTTTGCCACTTGAATAGTTTCTACTCTGTGTCCTAACACTCTGCCAAACACTTGCCTGCTACTATCCTAAGATACGTCTTAAGTCCTGGCTGTCCAAGTAACACACGTGGGTTGTCCTTACTGGTGTAGAAAATATAAATACTACCTTTCTGAGACATTATTATTTCAGTGTATGTCACATTCTGCATGTCTGTARTGTAAGATTATTATACTTAATTTATTTCAGTGACCTTTTATTCTGCCTGACCATATTCTCATGGCTTCATTCCTGCTTTAATTTTTGCATTCCTGTTTTCCCACATTTGTGCCTGTATGTTTGTAGTTGTCCAGGATAAGGTGCTGGTCATGTTTGGAAATGTGCAGAGGGGCTTACTTCTCTGCCAAACGGGACGTACTTGTTCCAATTTGTCGCCTCTCTCTGCCCTTTCAGCCTGAGTGATGGAGTATAAACATTAAAAAAATGGATATGTACCATAAATAGAAAATACATCTTTCCCAAGCAGCAGGGCCAAGCCACATTTACCACAGATCACTTTGAAGTGATTTCCTGGTCAGCACATTTGCAGTGCCCTTCGTTCTGATGCCATAATCTCATTTTTCATGCATAACTTGATGGTTTTTCTTACTCAGACTTTTTTTTTGTGTTTAATCATTCTGCCAAGTGATTTTGATGTAGACAATAGTGATGAAACATCGGAATCCATGACCTTCCCAAGCGGCTTCA